CTGCGGACGATCGTGATCACGGACGGGTCAAACTCACTCGGGTCCATCGAAAAGGCCGACGAGAGCGTCTCCTGGAAGACCCAGTGGCCGTTAAACGACGACGGCACCAAGTTCCGGACCGGCGGCGTCGCCACGGGCACGCCCTAGTCGCCCTGCGTGAACCCTACCCCTCTTTATATCTCGTACCATGTAGACTTCACGCAGTTGCGCGACAAAGTTCTCAAAGCCCGTGATCGACGTTGTCCCGATCGCCGTCGGCACCAGCGCACCCGCTTGGGACACGGCGTTGATGTGCGTCGCGAGGCCCTCGAGGGTGAGGAACATGGGCTCGAGGAGGTGGTTGAAGTAGCGGTAGTGTAAATGGAGCCACTCGAGGTACGCGTCCTGTAGCGCTTGCCGGTCGAGGAGCCGCGGCGCGTTCGCCTGCATGAACTTGGACTGCTCAAACATTGTGTCCATCGAGACGCTCGCGAGGAAGAGGTCGAGGCAGACCGTCGTTAATGCTTCGAGCGACGACGAGCCTGGGGTCGCCGGCGTCGGCCGCATCCACCGCGGAAACGTGACGCGGCTCGAGCCCCACCGGGCGCCGAGCGGCTCGAGCAAGCTCTTTGTCAGCTGCTCAGCGATCCGATCGTACTTGCCTGCAAATGCGTGCGACGGCAGTCGGTGCAGGAAGGACATGACAGTGCCGAGCTGCTGCTCCATGACCATCGGATCGACACGTCGCGTCGCAAGTGCAGTGCTCCGCGGAGACCCGACACTGCTACCCGACGACGGCGGCGGAGACGACGCGTGGAACTCGCCGTCGCACTCGCAACCCGTCGTGGTCACGCCGCCGCGGTGCTTTTGGCAATGGTAGCACGCGCGTCGGTACGACATGATGATAAACGGCGGCGACCGGTGGACGCCGACGACGCGGAGCGATTGCGGACTCAGTCGGCGAAGGATGTAGGCCTATGCAGCAAGTGGTGATGATGCTACTGAGAGGATAAGCGTACGACGACGCGGTGGGTCGCCGTGCGGTGGGCTTTTGTGGACGTGCCCACCCAGCCGTAGTGCCACCCGAGGAGGTTGTGGTGGTTGAAGCGGTACGTCATCGTACTCTACCGTGCATGAGCGTCCACGGGTGGTTGTTGATGGCACTGTACCGCGTCCAACTGCCTCGAGTCACTCGCAATCCAGTCGCCTTTGATGTTGGCTTGGCTGCGCGTGCTGTGGACAACAGTCGCTTCGTCGAGGACGTCGCCGACGGCCAGCACCCGGTCGGTCGACGGCTGGAACCGCAGGTACGCCATGTCGGCGTCGATGGCGAGCGTCGCGTTCGAGACGACAACGTCGAGCGACGTGGTGCAAAAGTTGGCGTACGTGTGCTCCGGGCAGCAGTGCGGAAAGCACCTAGTTCAACGGATCATGCCGCGAATACAACGGAACGGAGAGACAGACCGGACGAGCTTGACGCTGCCGGCGCGGTGCGTGCGGAGATACTTGTGCTCGAACAGCGAGGCGCGATCCGCGCACTTGCAGTCGCCCATGCGGAAGGAGACCGCCCAGGATGATGATGTTGCAGTCGTCATGGCTGGCCGTTTTCAAGTGAAATCGCAAGTGCAAACTTACACTTCAACTTTATGGTGCGCTTGTCCCAGCATCTGCCGCGCCCTCATTGGGTCGTCCATCGCCCCACGCCTTTTCAAGAGTGTCCCGACACAGTCATTGGCACCGCGACTCTGGTTCGGAAACCCCGCCGGAACATCGGCGAGTCCTCGCCTGCGTCCAGCTGCGTCGCCTTCGGTGGAGTGCTGACGAGGCGCTGGCCTTCGCTGCGCCATCTTTACGCCGATTCCGCATACGGTGTATGTCACCACGCTCATATCAGACGCGCCACGGCAGATTACTTGTACTAGTACCAGTACTAATACAAGTCCCGCCCGCAGCTCTACCAGTATGCCATTGGCCTGAACTGGCCCTCGACTCCGTCGCGTACTGCGGCCCAAGCATCGAGGTGCCACGAGCTTCTCTACTGGGTTTGTTTTGCGAAGACATTCACGGCAGCAGACTCCTTACCGTCGTCGATGCAAGTGGTCAGACAAGTGCTCAGCTCGGTCGCCAGATTGGAAGACAGGACGCTTTACCGCAACCGTATTCCGCGCTCGCCTGCGTCGAGTTGTCACAAGGAGAACAAAGCTTACTTGACACCACCCCGCGCAGGGCAGGCAACGGCGGTT